TTTTTTTTTTTTTTTTTTTTTTTTTTTGGCTGTTAAAGAATATAAAGACTGGGGGAGAAATCACTATTGAGACATGGGTTTGAAACATTTGAGCATGTAGTTCAAGTGTATCTATTTTGCCCTGAAGGAGCTGATTCCCAAAGAGGTTTAGTGACTCAGCAAGTTAGAGGGCCGATTCTTAGTATCTGGTTTCTGCATCCTAGTCCTGTGGGTCCCAGGGCACCAGGAGCCACCCCAGCCTCCAGCACTGGTGCCCCAGGAGGGTCCCGGAGTGAGCCCTGTCCCCAGCTGATCAAAGGTGATGACACTCAAGGTGGACCTCTCCCAGGTAGCAAGGATCCCGTGTGTACCCTGCAGTCCACTTTCTGAAGGGCCTGCTTTGGGGTGGATTTTTCTTTTCCTTCTGATAATGTGTTAATTAAAATTAACTTTTAATTTAAAAATAATGTATGCAGTAAAAATTCAAATGGTTAAAAAAAAGACACAATGAAGAGTGAAACTCTTTCCTAACTGATCCTCTGTTGAGAAGCATCCACTGCTAAGAGCTTTTTTTAAAAAACCCTCACCCGAGGATATGTTTTCATTGATTTTTTTTTTTTTTTTTTTTTTTTTTGAGAGAGAAACATTGATCGGTTGCCTCCGGTACCTTCCCCTTCCAGGCATCGAACCCGCAACCTTCTGTGTACGTGACAATGCTCCAACCAACTGAGCCACCCGGCCAGGGCTACTGAGAGCTGCTTATATGTCCTTCCAGAACCGGAGAAGTCCCCAAAGGGAATGAGGTGATAGGCCCAGAGGAAAGGAGAAGTGCTAAGCTGACAAAGATCAGATGTCCGCTGCACACACACAGCGGGGGTGCGGCGTGAGCCAAGCATGTTCGTGCTAGGCCTGCTCCTCGGGCTTTTTTGTTTGTTTCTGTTTTTGAGAAAAGGTACACAAAGGACATGGTCCCTGCCATCCGGACACTAGAATAGTAAGGGGAACAGAATAAAAAGGGTCTCTACTAAGTGGAATAAAGCTGTGGCCTCTAAACTCCTTGAATAAAAAATATTTGGGCATTTATATGCTAATACATATGCTATAAATCACACTGACAATAGAAAATTTAAAGGTCAAGGTAAATATTTTAAAGCACTTTATATTTGTGATTCAAAATATCTGTCCCTAAAAATGAGGGTGTGGTTGAGATAATATCTAAGGTCACATTCTTCCTGTTTCTATTTTTATTTATTGATTTCTAGAGAGAGAGAAGCATCGGTTTGTTGTTCTAATCATTTATGCATTCATTGGTTGATTCTCATATGTACCCTGTCCGGGGATCAAACCCAAAACCTTGGTGAATCAAGAGGTCGCCCTAACTCACTGAGCCACCCAGCCAGGGCCTCTGCATTATTTCAATCATTCTACAGATGGCAGGATACAGGTACTAAAAGTATATTGGCTTCTTTGAAACCACCGCCACCGATGGGAATAATTGTGACCCTCATGTAACAGTTAATTCAGCAGTTGCTCTCCAAGCCCGCTCGCTCGCTCTCTCCCTCCGAGAGTGTACTTTCGCTTTAATAAATCTTGCCACCGCCACTTGAACTCCTTAAAAAAAGAAAAAAGTTTATTCAAAGGCATGTGTCAAGATCTGAGTGCCATTGGGAAAGGACAAATGGGTGGCTTCTCAGAGACAACAAGGAGTCATTTATCTTAGTGAATTCATTGCAGTTCAAGGCTAGGACCTCGCCAAAGCAAAGACAAACCAAAATGAGAGATTGCCTGTTACCGAGCGCCATACGCCAGGCCTCAGCTACGTACGCATTTTATTTAATGTCATTTCTTTTCATTCCATCAACAGCCCTTGGATATGGTGTTCACATGCTCAGTGGGAGGACACTGAGGCAGAGTGAGCATGAACCACACCACTTAGTGCGTGAGGGAGCCCGGACGCAATAAAGCAATCATGAGCACGTCTGAGCTCTTAACTGACAGGTTGTACCATAAGCATTGGACTTGAACTAACTCATTTAGTCTGCACAACTCCCTGAAATGCATGCTGTTATTTCCCACTAATGATGAGGAATTGGAGGTGCCCCAGGTCCACATCTAGTAAATGGGGGTGGGTGCTGGTCTCACTCCTTGGTCCCACTATTTATTTGTTGTTTTTAATGCTCACCTGAGGATATTTTTTCAATTGATATTTTGGAGACTGGAAGGGAGGGGGAGATACACAGAGAGGGAAACATCTATGTGAGAGACACATCGATTGGTTGCCTCGGGCATGTTTCCTGACCGGGGCCATGGATCGAGCCTGCAACCTCGGTACGTGCCCTTGACTGGAATCAAACCCAGGATCCTTCAGTCCACGGGCCGACGCTCTAACCACTGAGCAAACCGGCTAGGGCTTGCCCTCGCTTTCTAACTCACTGTGCTACCATCTCCAAAAGCCCATGACACTGCAGAACGGTGCCTGGTGCTTCCTCCTTTGCACACTGGAAATTTGATCTAAATATTCTTCCTGAGTTCCAGGCTCAGAGTCAGGGATGCTGAATCATGCTGACTCACAAGAGACTGACTGATGGATAAGCCAGACTGTCAGTTTAATAATTTCCAGGGGTGGGCTGGACAGTTGCATCAGCCTGACCTGCATGTTGTCTCCCAATAGCTACATGCGGCCTGCACCAGCATAAGGTTACCCGGGGAACACAGAAATGGAATAGAGAGTGTGAGTCCCTTTAACGACCTCTGTGTCCTATGTCCTGATATGTCTGTCTGCACAATCTTAAGACATTTTCTTTTCTTATTGATTTCAGAGAGAGGAAGGGAAAGGGGGAAACATCAATGATAAGAATCATTGATTGGCTGCCTCCTGCATGCCTCCTACTGGGGACTGAGCTGGAAACCTGGGCATGTGCCCTGACCTTCCGGTTCATAGGTCAATGCTCAACCACTGAACCACGCCAGAGATATTATTTTCTGTATCTGCAGAGAGAGTAGGTCAGACCCTGGACGTATCTCCATGGCTGACTGGTTTTCTCCACCTGGCCCCATCTTTAAATATACCAATGACTCGATCAATCTCCTGTCAATCTGGTTGCCCTGGATATCATGCCTTCTTTTGGAGGTGACTTTTCCTAGCCTTACTCGCTGATTCACCATTCAATCACCCAGAAATATTTATGAGCACTTCTGTGTGCAAGAAATGGAAGTTCTGTGGAGGGGGGGACATTTTAGTGAAAGAAACACATAATTAATTACCATATAAACATGAAAAAATGAGGTGACTTCAGATGGTGATAAATGCTATGAAAAAATTTTCGAGAAGGGCAACTAGACTGAGGATTGGGATGGAGGAAGATGTTGGGCTGCAGACAGGGTGCACAGGGAAGGCCTCTCTGAACAGGTGAAGTCTGACCTGAGCCTTGCATGCCAAGAAGGACCCAGTCCTGTGAACATATGAGTTTAGTTCTCAGGGAAACGCTTCACATCTGTCATTGGAAATGGAAGTTCATTGCAAGTCCCTGCAGAGACAATGTAGCACAAACTAGGCAACTTTGATTCCAGAACTCCACAGCATCGTTTCACGTGCAGCATGTGCGCGGGGTTATTAAATAATTGAAATCAGGGCTATCTGGGGGTTTCCAGGGCATGTGGTTACTAGAATGAATAGGCTACGGGTGCGTTGGCCTGGGCACCTGACCCCACACCGTTGAGATGTGAAGCGTGTTTCTAGTTTCTCAAAAGCAAAATGTTGGATTAAAACCTCTTGCCATTTGGGACCATGTCATTTTCCCCCAAACTCGATTATGTGTTCTCCCCCTCAGAGCAAAGTCTTGAGTGTCATACATTTTGGAATCTCTCAAAGCACCTAGCAGAGCGCCAGGCACGTAGCAACAACAACAAGCACACAAAGTGTCGTGGGTTTGCCTTCAATTCCATCAGTGGGGGGAAAAAGCTGCGCTCGGAGGGAGCGCGGAGCTGCTCTTCGCCCTCCGGCCGCACGAGGGCGCGGTGGGAATCCCGCGCGCGGAGGACGCGCGGCCGGCGCCCGTCTTGGCCTTGTGTCAACACGGCGCCGGAGGAGGCTCGGGGGAGGGGCAGGGCCG